GTTCATCACATTGGGCCGGAAAACATGTCGTGTGTTAGATTTCATGGCTTTAATTCGCTGTCACGGTAAAACATTAACAAGAATTCATAGAATACAATGCATGGAAGTATTAAAAATGAGATAAGAAAATATAATAAAAGATATTTTCTTCTGACAAAGCTCCACTTCATCGTTACGAAGGCGACTTTGACACGAACTTGAATGATTCATGGTTTTAATATGGGTTATTTTAGAAGAATCGTTATCGAATTGCATCCACGCGGTTTGATTCATTCAGCTGAAATGTAAATTGAAGTATTCCAGCGTGTGAAACAATGATACTAAGTTGGCATATGCGATTGTTATCGATCACAAGACCCAATATTAATAAATGTACATTATTAGCAAAACGGTCGTGATAATACACTAGTGATCAGTAATTCAAACGCTTTAGTGCGTCTTACTGAAATCGATATTTTTTTTGTTTACTTCTTTCTATTGTGCACTGTAGTAAATTTAATAAATTTGAATCTCACACCAACCTTTTAGAGTTGCTACGCAAACACACAAAGTCTATATGTGTCACATATATATTATGTATTCAGTGAATTAAAAAGAAAAAACTTTAATAATAAAAATGTCAATTTATCAGTTAAATGCCGAGAAGTTATTATTATTCATTGCGCACTATTTGCTCAAGATTTATTTTGATACTTTTTAAGTTATATTTTGTTGAGAAGCGTATATATTCTAGTGACAATTGAACTGAATTGTTCTACAAATAAGTCTTATCTCAAGCTATCGGTCACTTTAAAAGTGCCACCGCAACATATGTAACTGAAATGAGGCATCACACACTGATTTTCGACGGGAAATTAAACGAAAACAAACCTCGTTAAATATTAGGACCACGTGGTACGCTCATGGTCTATTTGTTTATATGAAACCTTTAACGGAACTACGAAACGCGCTGCAGTTTGGCATCACTCCGGGTATCACGTGACACTTCTGCAGAATACTAGTATATGACATGTGTGTTATTAAAATTGCACCCTCTTCTAATCAGTTATTTAATCGCGTTTAGAAGCCAATATTATACTACTAATTTATAATATGGCTGTCCAATTAGTATACGTTGAAATTGACAGAATAATTACATCCTGTCATTGATTACA